GGCTTCGCTCGCGTAACAAAAGGATAAAAAGTAGCCTATGTGACATATACCAATACACACGGCGCATCTATTACATTTTTCCGGGATAAAAGTACCCTATTATTTAATCCGGACTTCTAACTTTACGTCTGTAAAAATTCAAAGTAATCGGTTTAGTAGTTACGGCGTGAAAGCGGAACAAACAAACAAACTCACTTTCCAATTTATAATATTAGTAAGGATAAGGATTACATGATAACTCCTAAAATCTAACTAACGAGAGAATTCGTTTGATGTTAGAACAACACTGCTTTCATATCTTAAAATTATTTCGAAAGAAGGTTTTCAATAAAACCTATTGAGGTTAAATTTAGTGGGGTGATTGATGATGAAGCGATTCGCAGCTGGGCACGAGGCGGCGACATGAGGGGACGACTCAGCAGTTTGGATGTTGCAATACTCCCTAGTACCTTCGTGTCTTCTTCTCCTCTTATAATATCTTCTGATTCACTTCGTCGCGGAAACCAAAACAGTTACTCATGTCCCTGGGACGCGCCGGACTTCAGTGTTCCGGTGTTTTCATGGTTGTATCTACTGTAGATCCTGGCTTACAGGAGTTGCAGCGGTTTTGGGAGGTTGTGGCGGGCTTGTCCCTATGAAAAAAATAGTAGATACCTTCGTTGCATCAAAGTAGGTGTAATGTCCTGATTCAGCAGATCTGGTCGTCTTGACATGGCGTTGATCACGGTGTAGGTATATATGTATGTCGGCACCGATACGTAACAGACGCATATTTTAATTGATTTGTTGTTGAAAGAAAGACATGTTCCAAGTCTTTATGATTTGTGACGTAATAGGTAGGGTATTATGCCCAATTTTTTGTCGAAGGAATTAAGTAATGGCATCTGGTGCATGCTATCACTATCACTACATAGTATAAAACAAAGTCGCTATACCCCGTCTGTATGTCCCTATGTAGGTTTCCTTAAATCTTAAAAACTACGCAACGGATTTTGATGCGGTTTTTTTAATAGAGTGATCCTTAAGGAAGGGTATAATAAATGTATATTGCACCCGTGCGAAGCCGGGGCGGGTCGTTAGTAAATGAAAGTCCTATCAAAATCGGTTTAGCCGGTCTAGAGATACGCTAGTACAAACAGACAGACAGACAAGCAAAAATTTAAAAAATTATTATTTTGGTATATGTATCGTATGTATATTAACTCGTCGAGTACCGGTTTTGTAGACACAATTATAGAACAATAGGTTGCGGTCACCGGTGACCGCTTGGTATTTGACAGTTTAATTGGGTAGTTTCCAGGGTATTAAAATTAAAAGTCTAATTAGTCCGTATTTTTTTTATTTTCTCGTATTAAGTTGCAATACTTAGATAAAATGTCGCTAATTTTAGGAGTGGGAGGATGTTACATCATAACGTGGTACAAAATCTGCCACGCTGTGACGTCACACGCTATTTCATTTTAATATATCGTCGAAAGTATTTAATTTTGTGGGAAAAGAAAAAATACGTGTCTAAAGTTTTAAATTTATGTACCAGACGGACATTAGAATAAAACGTCGGAAACTACCCTATTGCAAGTAGCAAAAAGCGGTTATTTCATTATTACAAACAGACACTCCAATTTCATTTATCGGTAAGTATATAGATGTAATTTTTTTTAAGGAGGGAAAATCATCGAATGACTGCTCCCGCCTGGATGAGGCGGGAGAGAGTGTCAGAGACTTACTGACTAAAAACCACCCCGTTCCTTCTCCTGCACGTCGAGCCGGAGCCCCGGTTACCCGTTAGGGTCTCCGCGACATCGGTATAGATGTACCTCTATAGATGAGTATCTAAAACTAATCTTTAAATGAAAACATCTATCCTTGCCTCATTCAATGGCATCCCAAAGAGACCCCTTGGTATTAATAACTATTCAACGAACGAGACAAGCCATAAAAACTTTACAAAAAATGATTTGCTCTCGACCACTACACAAATCTTTCAGGCTTTTCAGAAAATGGAATAAAAAAGTAATAAAAAACTTATATTGTTTTTTTACACACCAATGAATAATATTTCAAACTATTCTATTGGATTTAAGGTCCATTACTTTTAAAAGATGAATATCTACAAGTCATTAGAGTCGAGCGAGATTGCCTCGTTGACCGAGTGGTCTCAAGTGCGACTCGGCAAGGGATCGCGGCTTCGATTCCCGGATCGAACAAAGTATTAGGTACCTAATGGTTTTGTTAATCTCGGTGTTCGGAGCGGTAACGGGATCATAGAGCTATCAACATTTTATATTAAAATAATTCATTAACTAACACGAGTTGTCCCAGCGCTCGATAGATGGCGTTGGGATCGAGTTAGATGGCGCTATGGTTTCGTTACCGGGATTTATAATTTAATAATTTAATAATAATTTATTTTATTCATAAGCACTTAATACAATATATCAACAATAGTTTTGGCTACAATATTTTTACAGGTATATGATTTATATAGGGTACGGACAAATATTTTGTACGGTGTGAGCAGCAAGCATTGTGATTGATATAATACGCGATTAGTATTTCAGTATAGTGTATTATATCATCCACCCTCTCCAAGTCGAACTTCGTTCACTCAGTATTAATAGCACGGATTCTGCAATAGGGATGATGACAGGGTATGAAAATTAAAAATCTAAGTAGTCCGTCAGTTAGGTAATGAAAATATATTAGACACGTATTTTTTTATTTTGTTGTACAATAAAATGATACTTAGATAATTATAACGAATCAAAGTTTAGGAATGGGGCTAAAACGTTATTTCTACGTATAAAATGTACATAGAAGTGACGTCACGGGACATTTCAAATCAATATATCGTCGAAAGTATTCGTTTCTGTAAGAAAATAAAAAATACGTGTGTAATGATTTAAAATAATCTACCAGCCAGACGGACATTAAAATAAAAATTAGTCATCTACCCTATTGTGCCCGGTATATGGCAATAGGCTCACTCCTTAATACATGGGTCTCGTAGCATATAAGTGAAAAGTGGGTGTAACATTGTACCAGTGGCATTAAGTGTCGTAATGTGCACCTCTGCCCACCCCTTTGGATATAAAAAGGGCGTGATGTTATGTTATGTGTTATTAGAGTAGAAATTTGAACTTTTCAACTATTGGTTCATGTACAATGTTTGAACTGAGAACTACGATAACGCATGTTACAATTCATATTAAATCATTTGCATAAAATTATGGTAATTCTAAAAGTAGCTACAACATAAACATAATTATCATAACATAACATCACGTCTTTTATCCCCGAAGAGGTAGGCAGAGGTGCACATTACGGCACTTAATGCCACACCAAATACAAACAAGCGAATAATAGAAGCCTATTATTCACACTTTCTTTTAAAGTTTTATGTAAATTAAATAGTGAAGGATAAGTGTGGGAGAGCCATGCTTCGGCACGAATGGGCCGGCTCGACCGGAGTGATACCACGGCCTCACAGAAAACCGACGAGAAACAATACGTGCGTTGTGTTTCGTCGTTTGAGTGAGGTTACCGGAGGCCCAGTTACCCCTTCCCCTCCAATCTCCCTTATCCCCGAATCCCAACAATCGTCAAATTCCTAATACCTAAACAGCTGGTACTGCGCTGATATGCGCTGCCGATTGCTTACCATCAGGTGCTCAATCTATTTATTTACCGGCTTATTCGATAAACGAAGGCTTTTCCCATAAAACGAGCACCATTCTTAACCCTGTAACAATGTAATTACAAAGAATTTTTGAAAATCGCAAATCCTTTATCTCTATTATACAGACTCGAAGGTCGCTTTTACAACCGCTAGACGGCCGCGAGAAGCAACCCACAAACTAGTTAAAAAGTGAATATTATAACTGAACCTCGATAAACTTAGTTACAAGTTCATAAGTAAACCATTTGACTTCCTAAACTAACTGTAAATAGATAGTAACTCCTTAAAACTCTGTTAAACTGACTAAAGTTATGCCGGCTAGATATTATTTTGAATTAGTTTAAGTTGAGAGCTACAGAAAGGATAAACACAAGTATCTCATTGGCTGAGTGGGTTAGGGAATCAGCAACTATTAGACATTAGGGAAATAGGATTCATTCTTGGGTGGAGTTACATAATATTAAACATAGATTTCGATTAACGATACAAATACAAACTCTTTGTGTGATCCACAGATTGTTGTTTCTGGTCTGAGTGTCAGCCTGATCCCTCCGAGTCCGTACTGACGTGATTGTGATTCGATAATTAGTGTCGGAGTACTATCTGGTATTTAGGTCATATGTGAACTATGAACTTCATATGTGAACTTGTATGTTTGTAAACGCACCACACAGCCCTAGTGTGGGGCAAAGATTAAAAAAATAACTGACCTAAATACCAGATAGTACTCCGACACTAATTATCGAATCACAATCACGTCAGTACGGTCTCGGAGGGATCAGGCTCGGACCATTCCTCGACGATCTAGGTGGTTGTGGAGAGCAAGTGGACTGTATAATGAACTGGATAACTCTCGTACACTGATATACTTTTATTATAGGTACAATTAATTTAAAATTTACTGGATTTTAACAAAATTCTCAGTAGTAGCACGGAGTCTGGAACTGTGCCCGGTATATGGCAATAGGCTCACCCCCTATTACATGGGACTCATGACATTAATAGTGAAAAGTGGGTGTTACATTGTACAGTGGCATAATGTGCACCTCTGCCTACCCCTTCGGGGATAAAAGGCGTGATGTTATGTATGTATGTTAATTTAAAATAATGTTAACACTTGAGCCCGTGCCACAACAACGAGAAATGCCATTGCTTATCGTGATGAAGCACGTTCACCGTAGGTATAGTCACGAATCAACGCGATAATTTGACAACGGCGTTCATAATGCCGTTTAGCGATAGGCGATAGCTCAAGTGATGGTACATCAAAAAATTCAAAGCGAGATTACGCGATAAAGCGGCAACACTACGTCATTGTCAGTGTGCATCGTGAACGCGACGGGATCGCACGCGTTTATATTTGAACACTCGTACCTACCTACTGTGACTATGGAGTGGAACAATAAAAAAGTTATTACGTTTCTCGAGATCCTACAAACAGAACCATGTTTGTGGGATCCGAGACTAAAAAATTTCAAAAATCGTGGAACGCAAAAAGAGGCTTGGCGCCGCATAATGGAATTATTACCGTTTAAAACCTCCATAGAAGAAATTAAAAAGAAAAAGGAAAGCCTAATGGGCTATTATCGATTCCATTTAAATAGAATGAAAAAGTCTTTCAAGTCCGGAGCTGGAAAAGATGACGGGTACAAAACAAATTGGTTTGCATTCGAAACGATGGACAATTTCCTACGAGAAGTATACAATAGTAGCTGCACATTAAATACAGAGATGGTAAGTACCTACCTACGAAATAATATTAGCCAGTCAGTCAATATAAGTAGTCAGTAGCAAGTGGATTTTACGGTTTTAGGATGCCTCAGGCGTAGGTAGGACAGTTAAAATCACGTAAGATGGCCCGCCTGAAGTTAGCCGCTAGTAACTTTAACACTTATTTATTCGTAATAAAATAAACCAATGTTTTATAAAAATAAATGCTAATAATGCCACACCAACGAGAAATGCCATTGCTTATCGCGATAATGCACGTTCACCGTAGGTGTAGTCACGAGCCAACACGATAATTTGACAACGGCATTCACATAGCCGTTTGGCATGATGGGCATTCACGTTGAAATTTCAAGTATTGCCACCCACTTTATCGCGTTAAAATTATCGCAATATCGCAATATCGAAGTAAACATCGCGATAATCAGCATTGACGTTGACGTTAGTGTGGCCCGAACATAACAGTTTATAACAGTAATATCAACAACTAATTGTATTTATTTCCGAGCGTACGGCGCGTCGCGTTTCGCGCGCGCCTCAAAGAGCCATCAGACCACCACAAATGGGGTCCACAGGGCCGATGCCGATTCGAAGTCGCGGAGAACCTAACGGGTAACCGGGGCTCAGGCTCGATGTGCAGGAGAAGGAACGGGGTGGTTTTTAGTCAGTAAGAGTCTGACACTCCCTCCCGCCTCACCCAGGCGGGAGCAGTCATTCGATGATTTTTCCCCTTTAAAAAAAGACTACACTAATTACGCCCTGATGTCTGCAAGAGTCGCCGACAATATAATTATATTGTATTTTCCGGATTCCCTACTACAAAGTTCCATACTAGAGAAACTATTGCTGTCACATTGCTGTCTGTCCGTCTGCGTATCTATGTGTCTGTTCGTCCTTCCGTCTATTCATAATCCTTTGTATATACGAGTATGTGTCTTTCCGTCTGTCATACTCATCTTATACTCTTATATAAAGCGGAAGAGTTTGTTTTTTTTGTTTGTTTGTTTGAACGCGCTAATCTCCGTAACTACAAGTCTGATTTGAATAATTATTTTTGTGTTGGATAGCGCATTTATCAAGGATGGCTACAGGCTATAAAATAGGAGCTGAGTAGAGCGTGTGAAACCGCGCGGAAGTAGCTACTTTCAATATACTTGTAATATTATTTTAATTTTTTTTCAGACCCACGATGACACTAAGGCACAAAGTGAGGAAAGAAATTATACAGAAACAGAAGAAGTTTTGCAAAATAAAGTAGAAGATTATGTAGAAATAAGAAGTCGTCCAAGAGAAAATAAATCTCAAAATTATAATAAAAAAAGACAATTGACAGATGAGTTGCCGCAAGAAATCAAAGCAGCGCGACGTCTACTGGACGAAGCGTTTGACTTAATTAAAGAGAAGAAAGATGATGAATATGAGATGTTCGCAAGACTGCTTGTAAGTAAACTAAAAAAAATAAAAAATCCAAACACGCGTGATATTTTAATGAATGATATTCAGAATTTAGTATTTCGTGCTTGTATGGCAGATCGACTTGAGCAACAGTCTGCAATACCTCAGTTTTCTACATCCATGTCTTCACATCAAGCATTCAGTCCATCGACATGCCAGTCGCCTCCGAATCACTCCACATCCCTACATATCTCCACACCAACAAGTATTCAGTCCCCCACCAAATCCTTCGACATACCAGTCACCTCCACGCCGCTCCACATCCCTGTCTCCACACCATCAAGTTTTCAGTCCATCGACATACCAGTCACATCCACGCCCCTCCACATCCCTATCTCCACACCATCAAGTTTTCAGTCCATCGACATTCCAGTCACCTCCACGCCACTCCACATCCCTGTCTCCACACCATCAAGTATTCAGTCCATCGACATACCAGTCACCTCCAAGCCACTCCACATCCCTGTCTCTACACCATGAAGCATTCAGTCCATCGCCAAATCCTCCGATATACCAGTCGCCTCCACCACGATACAAATAGTCTACCTATAGATCAATTCTCAGTACATAGTCCTCATGAAAATTTACTAGAACCGCCAACCCGTGCTTCACAAATATTAATCACAGAGTCCGGTGAAATAAAAATAGTTCAAGTTTAAAAACTATATAAAAGCCATGTTAATTACTTCAATAAACAAGTAAATGAATGACATTTATACCGAGTATGTTGTTTTATTTTTCAAAGTCACAACAAATCTAACAATCACCAATCACATCACCAATTTTAAGTGTGGGAGAGCCATGCTTCGGCATGAATGGGCCGGCTCGACCGGAGTGATACCACGGCCTCACAGAAAACCGACGTGAAGCAACGCTTGCGTTATGTTATGTCGTGTGAGTGAGGTTGCCGGAGGCCCAATTCCTCTCTGGTCTAGTCCCCGTCTCCCGAATTCCTGAATCCTTCACAATCCTCAAATTCCCAATTCCTAAAAGCCCGGTAACGCATTTGTAACGCCTTGGTGTTTCGAGTGTCCATGGGCGGCGCCGATTGCTTACCATCAGGTGATCCGTCTGGTCGTTTACCAGCTTATGCCAAAAAAAGCAGCATGTTTTGTTAATTCGTATCAATAACATCATTACATCAACAGCCTACATGTGGCTACTGCTGACCAAACGTGTCTTCGCGAACAGAAACGGTTTGAGCATTAACCACCGCGCGCTGCTCATTGCGAGTTGATCCCTTCAAAATTAATAAGAAATCATACCGAAGTTTCCTCACTATGTATTCCTTCACCGTTTGCCAGTGGTGTCTAATTAATCTTAGAAAGTACATTATAACATAAAATGTCGCATTCGTACTTTCCGTTGGTATGTTTCGAGCCCGCACTTTTATGCTTGAAAGGCCTTAAACCGCCGCCACCACGACATTTGCCAGCGTCGTAGCCTAATTATTTTTGCTGGTGCACTGACACCTTTACCTATATCTAGAGGTAATATCTTATCTTATACTCTTATACTATTACATAAAGCGGAAGAGTTTGTTTGTTTGTTTTTTTTTTTGAACGCGCTAATCTCCGTAACTACAAGTCTGATTTGAATAATTCTTTTTGTGATGGATAGCGCATTTCTCGATGATGCCTATAGGCTATAAAACATCACGCTACAACCAATAGGAGCTGAGCAGAGCGTGTGAAACCGCGCGGAAGTAGCTAGTCCATTATATAGTTTAATGGTGTGTTTATGTTTATTGTCTTAACATTTAGTCTAACACTAAGTCATAATTGTGAACACTATGCGACCACAACAAGCAAGGCAGTAAGTAAAATTTCATCTACCGCAGAATCTGTGTGGCGCTAGTGGGCATAAAATCCTGCTGATGTAAAGGGAGTTTTACTACCTCTCGTCCCGTCTGAAATGGATGAAATCCTTACTATGATTTCCCGAAAGTATGAATCCTGATATTTTCTATTTTGGGTAGGTAACTGCGATTTGCAACCTGCCTACCAAGCAATCGATCAATCAAATTATAGCAATCTCTTATATTATGTAGAGGAGGCCTATGTGAGCTGCCACAAATAGTTTTGACATTTTGACTTTGACCCATGAAGAGCAAATGTTTATACAACATAATATGACTGAAACTCCTGACTTTATCCTACGAAAAACAGAAAACGCAAAATACCACAGAGAAAGAAAGACAAAATATTTATTTAGCACCCACAATGCAGCATAAATAAAACATAACATCACGCCTTTTTATCCCCGAACAGGTAGGCAGAGGTGCAGATTACGGCACTGCCATCTTGTGTAATTTACTAGATCATGTAAAAAGAAGTGAGTTCCCTTCGACGTCCAATAGTAGTAGCCAACCAAATATGAACCTAGTTGACAGGTACCGACGGATTCAATTTACGAATAATGTTCAATTTTGCACGTCAAGTGTGCGTCGCGTCGTGCCTGTCGACTGTCCTATCGACTGGCCGACAAGCTAACACTTCACTATATTTTTTTATTAATTTACTTTTTATTCAATGCTTTTTGAATCGATGATTTATTTACGATTTTTTTTAAGGGGAGAATATCTTCGACTGGCTTCTCCCTCCTGGGTGAGGACGAGTGAGGCGGGAGTCTCTGACTCTTACTGACTAAATACCACCCCGTTCCTACTCCTGCACTTCGAACCGGATTTATTTATGATAAAATTAAATCGATTTTTAAGGTGTTATTATAATTGAACTAGTAATCAAAAACGTTTCATCAAAGACTAGATAGTTGAATAAATATGAATCAAAATAATCTTTGATTAATTGATTTAAGATTTGCGCTTATTATTTACTTGTACTAACGTAAAAAGCATTTGAATAATATAAAGAAACTGCTTCTGATCTCATATCATTTTTGTTTTCTTCTAAACCTTATTCAAAAATTTTAAATTTCGAAGCTATAACACCTGTAGAGAAATAAATGAGCAAACAGATTAGAAGCAGATTGCTCTTAGATTTTCAAATCACCTACGTACTTTGATTGCACAAAATACTGGTTTTTAGGGGTGTACCCCAGGGTAGTATTTGAGGTCCCACCCTATTTATAATTACCAAGCTATAATGCAGTAAAGTGTTGTGTTGAATAGATTACATGAATAAAATTACAATTAATAGATAATTATATACCTACATATTTTCAGCTTCAAGTAGGTACCTACTTTTGCTGTAAAAAGTTCTTATTGTGATATGCATCCAAGGAATCACTTGTTATTTTTCTGTATTATCTACTTATTGTTTACTGTTCTTTTTCATGTGATGTTTATCTTTAATTAATTTTTGCATTTGTAAATGTTTCTCTATCTATTTATTCAGTAATGTATATAGTGTAAACAATTTTTAGTTAACGAAATTAAATGATTTTTTTATGGCATAGGCCGGTAAACGAGCAGATGGATCACCTGATGGTAAGCAATCGGCATCGCCCATGGACACCTGGAACACCAGAGGCGTTACATGTGCGTTACCGGCTTTTTGGGGATTAGGAGTTTGAGGATCGTTGGGGATTGAGGAATTGGGGAGAATGGGGAAGGGGAGGGTGATTGGGCTTCCGGTAACCTCACTCACACGACGAAACACAACGCAAGCATTGCTTCACGTCGGTTTTCTGTGAGGCCGTGGTATCACTCCGGTGGAGCCGGCCCATTTGGGCCGAAGCATGGAGAATTCATAATTACACTGTAATAGTTTGACCATGTATAGTATACAAATGATTTTTGTTGACTTTTTTATGTTTGTTTATTCGCAGAATTATTTATTTATAGCAAATGTATATTGACACTTTTATCGGCAGCATGGCAGCATGTATTAAAACATGGATTAGTCATAGTTGAGGTTTTGTGTATACCGGACTTTTTTAAATGGTGAGATTTTGTAAAGTGTGCAAAATATATGTATATACGATTTGTTCCTGATGTCACATCGGGCTCACCACCACACGTGGCCCGCGATCGCTGCGATCGGCGGTCATTCATTCACTCGCGATCCCCCGACACAACGCCGTGCGCACATATCGGTTGACCCTTACAATCAATACCTATTTAAATACAATCTTTTCTCGTCATACCGAAGTCTTTTATTATTCAAGACCACCAGCAGTACACCTGGAGCTTGATATTCAAACAGATTCGTTTGATTTTGTTAATTTACTCTTAGCTAACGTTAATTTGAATGCAACCCGGAAACTTAAGTGTAGTTTTGAGTCTAAGTCTACGTAATATAATAATGTTACGTACGTAAATAAAACTAAAAAAGATGCTATTTCGAGGTGCTTAATTTTGGGAACTAGACAAGATAATTAAGTATAAAAATAGAAAAAAACAAGAAACTACTTTTTGAAAAATTATTCAACCAAAAACATTCTGTAAAATACTAGCCAAGTCTCTATAGAGTCGCTCTTTATCTCTAAAAAGTAATGAAATCTAGTCAAAGTCGTGTCAAGTGCAAGTTTCCTTACTGCGATTTGTTTATTATCATAGTTAATGTTGTGTGACTTGATTGTTAAACCGCTACCCTTTGAAGATCCACCATCCATAAGAATTTCAACAACGAAAATGTGATTGAATAAACAGCGATGCTGGTAACATATTAATACAATTGTGTCCTGATTGGTTTGACACCTTTTTGTACCCTTTAACTG